ATCTTTTATACCTGAAATGTAGATTTTTGGAAAAACTCTTTTTTAGAACAATGGAAAAGTAGACCATTTGTTTATTTTAGTCACAGAAACCCTGTCATGACATGCCTATTTTAATTTCTTTAGCTGGAGGGAAGAATATATGATTCATACCTTATTTTTGCATAAGACCAGAATTTGTGTGAATGATAATGGATTCAAAGGAATTCAAACTAGTCAAATCAACATGAATCCTGGTAACCTATGGGAAATTTTTTAATTTAAGGCATTTTAAAATTTAGAAATGTTTGTGTGTTTGTGTGTTTAAATGTGTGTGTGTGTGTGTGTGTGTGTGTGTGTGTGTGTGTGCGTTTATATATTGGATGGTTAACCAGATTTTTCAAACCGATTTAAACAAAAAATTCACAGGACTGAGAAACACCTTGGATTCAATGGGCCAAAAATGGAAAAAACAATTGTAACATTTGATGGTTATTTGAAAACATGATTAAAATGCATTAATGATTGGGGAAGTTCAAATTCTTGCTATTTTCCTTTATAATATAAATCGATTATCCTTTTAAATTATTTAAAAATGAGATTAACTTTTGTGTGTGTGTGTTTGTATGTGCTTGTGTGTGTGAATGTGTATATTCGTTTAAATATATGGGATCTGACCAAGTACATTTTTCAACCGATTCTTACAAATTTTCATTTTTTTTTTCTCTTAGTGTTTTATTTTATTTTTTTTTTTTTCTTTTAGGAAGACATTCAAAATTTTTTAAAATTCCATTTAAAAACAATTGTTTTGAATAAAATTTATTCAATTATAGACTAGATAACGATTGAAAACAACTATTTTGTTTGAGTTTGAATGCAACCAATTCAGTTAAAAAGAAAATAAAAAAAAACTAATTAAGATAAATATTGTCATTCAACCTTAAATAATAATCAGAATTGTTCAAGGATTTTTATTTAAATTTATGATGGTCGATACTTGATCTATAAATAGGATACATGGAAGGGCAGAAATAAATATCTTGGTCTAGTCTTATCTAATCTATATGTGTAGATAAATTTTCAAACAAAAACTTTGTGATTATGAAAAGAAAGATGAGCCAATATATTATTCAGACAAATGTATTCTAATTCCAAAAAAATGTGTAAAAATATATAGAATGAAAAAAAAAATATTTTTTAAATAATGCATTTAAAATGTCATGTATTTAATTTTGATGAGATAAAAAGAAACATCATGCATGGCAAATTCAAATCCAGATGATAAAGAAATTTATTATGTAAAAGAACCAACAACAAAAAATGTTCGTCTAATAGGAAATTTATTGACGGATGATCAGCTTGGGTAAAAAATAAATTGATACTGTAATGGATTTAATTTTGAAAAAATTTGACCTGAAGACTTTGTTAAAACATGATGTAACAAACTTGCTAATTATTTTCAATGATTAGATTTAAAAAAACATTTACATCGACAGATATTAACACTCAAATGAAAGAACTTTTTGTTTGCAAGGACACAAGAAAATTATTTCAAAAACAAACAATTTCATTGGTTATCCATTGAAAAAACCAAAAAGATGTGATTTTGTTTACACATAGAAAGAAATATTTATATTAAAAAACAGCATTTTATTGAATTCACTGACAAGGAATAAATAAATAATTTTTTTAAGTTTTTAAAGAATAGAGCCCCGTTTAACTTTCATTTAACAGGAAAGGATATAGAAGAATATGTTCTTTAACAATATAAAACTTTTAAATTTATTAGTAAAGATTTCTTTAATTCCAGAAATTGGCTGGAGACATAAACTTCCTTTCAGCAATATAACAGAAAACTTGAGCATGCTAAAGGATCCTGACAAGTTGCCTAAAGCCATGCCCCACATCTTAATTGGTTACAAAGTCTATAGATATGAGAGTTTGCATTTCACTTTAAAAATAAAAGACCTGATTCCAGTCTTTCCTTTATTTTCAGTGGGGAAACAAAATAAGCTACCTTTCCCAAATATATTAGAATTGATTTTGAATGTAATGGATTTAAGTAGAATTTGAACTCAATATCTGATTCCTAAATTCTGTATTATCCATTACTCCACATACAAAAACAAAAATGTAATAGTTTATTTTAATTGTTGTTCTTGCTGACATTATACATTTTGTCTTCTTATAATTTATGGTTAAATTTTGTTCACATTTTTTTTTGCTTCCAATTCTGTCTTCTTATAATTGATAAACATTTTTATCCCATGCCTAATTTTATCACTTCTCAACAAGACTGATATTTACTTTCCATAAAACTGATAACCTTTTCAATATACTTTTTTCAAATCCAAACAAAGATGCACCATTGAATCAATGCAATCTTTTCTCATTGCTATCCTGTTGCAGATGTGTATTTTGTCATCCTTTCCTTTTATTCAATTATTTTGCAATGTAAGAATTTATGTTTTTTATAATTTCTTTTTTTCTTTAAAAAATAATTAAAATATAAATATGAATTGGGAAAAAAAGTGGCCTTCAAATGCCTAAACAACCAATTAAAAAAGAAAACTTTTGCTTGGAGGAAAAAAAGTTAAATAAACTTTCCCAGACCAAAATAAATTATTAAATTGATCCGAGCTCATCTCAAAATGCAGACATGAAAACAAATTTTTACTACGTTACTTAAAAAATTGAAAACGGAAAAAATAAAATAAAATAAACAAATAAACAAAACAACAATAAAATAAGCAAAATTAATTAACCCAAACAAATTACCAAATCACACCTGTTAGAATAGACAAAATAGAATAAAAAAAAAAAAAACAATGAACCCAAATAAATAAAGTAAATAATAAACAAATTAGCAAACCATTATGACCAAAATATTAGTTAGACTATAAAAATCAAACCAAAAAATCGGATGAAAAAAATAGCTATAACTGTTATATAACGATAAAAAAAAAATAAAAAAAAAAAATAAAAATACTATGTTACTTAAAAATCGAAAACTGAAAAGAGAAAATATACAGTATAACAAATAAATAATAGCAAATAAAATAAATTGACCTAAATTCATCCAAATAAATAAATAAACTAATCCTGATAAACTAACCGTTAGAAAAAACAAATAAAGATAATCAATCCAAATAAATACATGAAGTAATAAACAAATTAAAAACTGTTCCCGCCAAAATAATAGTTAGAATAAACTACAACAATCAACCCCAAAATTGAATAAATAGCTTTAATTATCTTCCCAAACCCAAACAAAACTATTAAATAAGCAATATAAACAAATTTTTACTACATTAATAAAAACACTGATTAAAAAATAAAAAATAAATAAATAAATAAATATATAAGATAAGAAATAAAAATAAAAAAAATAAAAATAAATAAAAACAAGCAAAATAATTTAACCCAAATAAATAAATAAACAAATAAATGACTTCTGGTAAAATAACTGCCAAAATAGACTACCAAAAATGCACCAGTGACCCGTATATATATAAATAGCTGAGAAAAATAACAGCACTTGTGGCCTGATGATTGCATCTAGCATGAAACAGTCGCCTCTAAGTGTTGACTTCTCTGTTCACTTTTATATTTACACACGCTCTATCTCTGTTATTGAGCACTTTATCCCATAAATATAGCACATCTTAAGATTATATTTTTTCATATATATATATGGATGTATATATAGTGGGGGAAACAAATATTCATGCACATCCAAATTTTTAATTTATTGTATTATGTCCTGCCACTGTATATGTGTGTGTATGTGTGTGCATACTTGTCAACCTGTGTCTCTGTATCCATGTGTAATATATTCACATGTATTTGATAATTAAACACTATTAGCCAAACAATCAAATTTTATTCAGAATATGATGTAATGAAATGATAGGTATAAGGTATAAGAGTAAAAACTAGAAAAGGGCATTCTAAAAAGTTCTTGGACTGACCACCTTCAAAAAATCTAGCCAAATGATCACACATCAGATTTTTGGGGGAAGTGTTTTTTAGTCAGGCCAAAAAATTTATCGGCAGCTCCTTATAAATTTGTATATTAAATTTTCTCTTTACTGCTAACCATTAATTAACTATTACTCTTAACCTTTGTGTCACCCACACTGCCTAGTTTTGATAAATTTCTCCCTAACTAATTTCCTATGTAGCAGTGAATGTTGAAGCAACAGAAATGTGTTTCTTCAGAAGGATGTTGAAGATAACATGGACTGAATATATGAGCAACAACAAAGTTTTAGAGAAAATAGAAATAAAAAGCAAATTTATACAACACTAGTAAGCGATAGTTAAAATTTTTAAGGCATATCATAGGAAAGAGAGCTTGGAAAATCTGATACTCACAGGACAGACTAAGAGCAAGAAAGACAGAGGAAAACAATACATCACCCACTTAATGAGGTCAAGTAAATAGATGGTGGGACAAGGTTTAGGAGAAATAACAAAAAGAGAAAAATTATTAAGAGCTATGAAAGGTAGGAAATTGTGGAGAACCATGATCACCTACATCTGATGAAGATCTAATTAGCAGAAATTTTGGTTTTGATTTCTCTCTTTCTTTTCTCTCTCTCTCTCTCTCTCTCTGTGTGGCCCTTTGACTTCCTGTTTTTTTCATTCTGATACTCTCTTTCTTTAATCATTTATTTAAAAATTTTTTTCCTTTATCGTTTTTCTTTCTTCTTCTTTACGTTCTCCTCTTCCTTCTCATATAAATTCCTTCTTCCTTCACCTCTAAACCTTTTATCCCACCTCCTCTTCTAATAATGTTTCCCCCCTTTTCTCATAAGCTCTCCTTTTAGCAATACTGAAATATCCAGTTGAATCATGATTAAAATAATTGAAATTTTTTTTCTACTTCAGTGCAAGAGACTAGAACATTTACAGTTTTTGAAAATGGTCTGGTGGACATATCATGTTTTCGCTATCATAAAATTAAAATAATCCATGCCAGTTTTGGTAAGAGAAAGAAGGGATGTGGAAGTGAGACTGCCATGGAAAGGTTAAAAAAAGTGTAAGTGTTTCATTCAATTTACTATTCATATAATCAAATTGAAATGATTTCTTTTTAACTTGAACATTCACTTATGTGCATATGTCTATGCAAAGGCCAAAAAATTACTTTTTTGGTAATATTATATTACCATATTGACAATATAAAAGATATGTAGGGATAGCAATAAATAAATAATTAAATAACTCCCAACTTCTATTACTAGTATTAGTTTGCAACCAAAATAATAATTAATAATTAATAATAAAATAAAAATTAAATGTTGAGAAATAAAAATACTTTAAAATACAGATAAAAATGGTAATTTACAATAAAGAAAAATAAAGTTAGATTATAAAAAAAATAAAATAAAATATGGAATACTCACATGATATATCAGGACAAGCATTTTCCCACCAAAAGAAATAAAAATCAAAACTTTCTTTCTCTTTGTCAAAGAAAGCAGACATTCTGGATATTTCTTGAAGAAATATGTTGGCACCTACAGATAAGTAAAACAAATGATTACTTGAAAGGAAGTGAAAGAGAATGAGATGACTTTAGTGAGGAAAAGGACAGGGTTCAGGAAGACCAAAGACTGTGATTGACATTGCATTTAAATTTTTGAAGATTATAGTTGGCAGAGAAGCAAGAAATCAGAAGAGTTCCACAGGTGAGAAGTATAAGAAAAGAAACTATTAGAATAGAACAGCTGGTTGCATATAGCTAGTTCAACAGTAAAATGGTGAGACCTAGTTTCCAATCTAGTAGCATGCTTAAATTCATGCAGTCGAGGGACCAAGGATAAAAGCTTATTAGAACAGTTGACATGAAAATATTTATGAGGTTAGCAGTAGTGTGGTGATTCAGTATGGCTTCTGCATTCAGGTACCCCCTATGATTACAAAAGTCAGGGGTGATGATGATGATGATGATGACGACGATGATGACGATGACAATGACGATGACGCAGACACCGCCATTGCTGCCGATGATGATCATGTGGTTTTTTAAATTAAATTATTGATTTGCTGAGGGAAAGAATCAAGACCCCATGTTGTTGCTACTACATCCAGAATAAAAAAGAGAATGAGTGTGTTTATATCCTGTTATATTCCATGCTAATAGGAATAGATACTTGAAAAAAGGTGCATAAAATAAATAAAGGTTTATTGTACAAAACCAGAATAAAGGTAACAGTTATGCATAAGTCATGGGAGTGAGAGGTTATTCCATTACATCATATCCTTTTCTTTTATATTCCCGAATAAAGTAAAATGTAGCAGGTATCCTGACGGACAAGATCCGGTAATACCCACAAGTAGAAACACTTCTCCATGTCATCTTCAAGTTCAGGCCAATTTGGTGCCAGGCAACAAGGGTTACATTTATCTTTCTTAGCTATCTTTATTTGATCTCCTTGCTATTACCAGACATGTATCATTTTTTCCAATAAGTGGTGGACCAAACCCTTTGCTGCTGCACTCTTCATGCTTCTTAATACAGTCTATCAATTCTAGTTTGTAGTGAATGGTGTAGCTTAATCTCTTACTTCTTGCAGCCATATTCTTAAGGGTAAATTTTCTCTGCAGCCTTGATGTTAGGTTCCCTAGGTTAGTTTTTTACCATTATGCTATTTCCTTTCAGTTACATTTTTTGCTTCTGTACATTCCAGCTGAAGAGCTTTGAGGCATATTTACATATGACTGATCAGCAAACATTGGCAGCACTTTGTTATAATTTCTTTTTGCAATTGTAGTAGTAATAGTAGTAGTAGTAGTAGTGGTGATGTTGAGTTAATAAGAATAACAAAAAAAAAAAATTATAAAGGGGCAATTCAAAAATAAAAAAGAGGAAAAAATAAGTTTAAGTATGAATGTTGGTACCATTACTGAAGGCCTGAATGATCTTTTTCCTATCACCATTGCTTCTTATTGAGATGACAGTTGGTCTGGCACAAAATGATTTTAACCTGCTCTTTTTCTAGCTGAATAACTCAAAGGATTTTTCAGTGATTTTTACAAATGTGACTTGAAGACATTTGACAGCAGCAACAACTAAAATGGTTAGCACATGTAACTCAAAGAGTATATAATGACATAATCAATGTTGACATTCTATATTATTTCAAGCAGACGGTTAGGAAGAAAGCCCTTATCAATATTCAAAAGAGTAATAACAATCAGTGGACTAATGAAACCTATTTTCCTGAAAAATTGTTTTAAAGAAAAATTTTATCAATTTCAACTGACAGTTGTGATGTCTGTTCAGTCAACACATGCTGAATGTTTCTGTGCAAGGAAACAGTTAATATTGTCATCACCATTTTTGATAAAGTTATATTCACCTTGACATACAATGAATTCTACAATTTCATGTATTTCAATAGATGTTATTGAATTTGTGTTAATATATATACAGTGTATCACAAAAGTGAGTACACCCCTCACATTTCTTCAAATATTTAAATATTCATGTGACTCATTAGTGTAACTATGCCCATGTGTTCATGGGGAGAAGATGTATTCAAATTTGTAGTGCAGCTCTAACACTCTCTCTTACCGGTCACTGAAAGTTCCAACATGGCACCACATGGCAAATAACTCTCTGAGGATCTTAAAAAACTTATTGTTGCACTACATAAAGATGGCCAAGGCTACAAAAAGATTGCCAACACCCTGAAACTGAGCTGCAGCACAGTGGCTAAGATCATCCAGCATTTTAAAAGAGCAGGGTCCACTCAGAACAGGCCTCAAGTAGGTTGTCCAAAGAAGCTGAGCGCACGTGCTGAGTGTCACATCCAAATGCTTTCTTTGAAAGATCAGCATAGGAGTGCTGTTAGCATTGCTGCAGAGATTAAAGAGATTGGGATTCAGCCTGTTAGTGTTCAGACCATACGCTGCACACTACATCAAATTGGTGTGCATAGCTGTCACCCCAGGAGGAAGCCTCTTCTGAAGGCAATACACAAGAAAGCCCGCAAACAGTTTGCTGAAGACATGTCAACAAAGCCCATAGATTACTGGAACCATGTCCTATGGTCTGATGAGACAAAATTTAATTTGTTTGGTTCTGATGTTTTTAAGCATGTGTGGCGGCGACCAGGTGAGGAGTACAAAGATAAGTGTGTCATGCCTACAGTCAAGCATGATGGTGGGAATGTCATGGTCTGGGGCTGCATGAGTGCTGCAGGTATTGGAGAGTTACATTTCATTGAGGGAAACATGAACTCCAATATGTACTGTGAAATACTGCAGCAGAGCATGATCCCCTCCCTCCAGAAACTGGGTCGCAGAGCAGTGTTCCAGCATGACAATGACTCCAAACACACATCCAAGACAACCACTGCTTTACTGAAGAGGCTGAGGGTAAAGGTGATGGACTGGCCAAGCATGTCTCCAGACTTGAACCCAATAGAACATCTTTGGGCCATCCTCAAGCAGAAGGTGGAGGTGTGCCGAGTCTCAAATATCCGCCAGCTCTGCGACATCGTCATTGAGGAAGTGGAAGAGCATTCCAGTGACTACCTGTGAAGCTCTGGTAAACTCCATGCCCAGGAGAGTAAAGGCAGTTTTGGATAATGATGGTGGCCACACAAAATATTGACAGTTGACATGTTGTATGTTAATATTGACAACTTTTCCTAAGGGGTGTACTCACTTTTGTTGCCAGGGATTTAGCTTTTAATGGCTATATTTTGAGTTATTTTGAGGGAAAAATAAATTAACTCTGTTATATATGCTGCAGACAGGCTACTTTTCCTTGTGTCAAAGTGTCATTTTGTCAGTGTTGTCCCATGAAGAGATATACTTAAATATTTGAAGAAATGTGAGGGGTGTACTCACTTTTGTGATATACTGTATATATATATATATATATATATATATATATATATATAAAATAAATTCTAAAGAGACAGGAAATACCTATAGGTGTCACCTAAATGGATCTTCAAGGTAAGCCAGCTTACCCTGAAGATCCATTTAGGTGAAACCTAGGTAGGTAGTTCCTGGCTCTTTAGGATTTATTTTATTTACCTTTGCTTTGTCCTACTTAGCGTATTGAGCACTCCACATTTTATCTTAGTTACTCACTTGGGTTTTTTTTCTTTGGATTAGAAATTTAAGGCACTGGACGATTTTTTTCACCCTGTCCGGATGTTTCTAGTTCTTTTTTTTTTTTTCCAATTTTTTCCTCGGATACCAATTTGTTTTTATATACTTGTAAATTGTGCCATCCAGGTTTTTTGCCAACCGAGTATAATTAGTAGAATAATATATATATATATTTTATATATATATATATATATATATATATATATATATATATATATATATATATTTATTTATGGCAAAATGACATAAATGTCTTATACATCAAGAACAATTTTAGGGGAAAGAAGTTTGACAAAGTAGAAAAAGTTTTATGTGGCATGTTTCATCCTTTATGACTTCATCAGACAAATTTTATGTTTATGTTGATGCAATTACACATGTGCACAATAGACGCTGGGAATTTTAAATTTAAAATCTTTTTTTTAATTTAATAAGTGTTTCGTGTATATAATCTAGACATTTAGATTCTTTTTGTTTATGTTTCCATAATTTTTTTTATTAAATATCCTGTATTGTGATAATAGAAGATCTGCCAAGAATAGTAAAACATTGTTAGAACCTTAACACAAATTTACTATGAATGATCTAGCAATTAAAGCACTTTCTAAACATTTTCATCTTAGTAAATTCTTTTCTCATTTATTTAGAGTAGCATTTTTAAATCAAAATTTTGCTCAGTCTCATTATGGTGAGCATCTAATTCATTTAATGTGTTGTTTTGTAAAATATCCCTTTTGTGTTTATATATATATATATAATATATATAATCATTAATTTAAATTCCTTGATGTTTCTCCTATGTATTCCTTGTGGCTATTATTACAGATAATAGAGTAAATTTCTCTTTCAAGTTTTAGTTTATTATTTTTTTGTATTAATTAAGTCTTATATCATATATATATATATATATATATATATATAATTATTTTTTCAATTGCATTTTTAAATTAGCCTTTAATGTGTTAAATGTAATATGAGGGTGTGATGTTTGATTTTTCAGTAAAAATAGTGACTATGTTAATAAAAAAAAAAACTAATCTGAACTATATTATTTCATAGTTTCCTATTTATGGAAATATGAATACTTATGGATTTGTCTGTGAGAGGTAAAGAATTTTTATTTTTGGGTTTATTTTCAGATGTGAAGGAAAGACCCGATGCTGTGGAACAGCAAATACAAAACTACTTGGCAATAGTACCTGCCCTGAAAATGATTCCCAGAAATTAAGAGTGACTTATGAGTGTATCAGGAGTAAGAAAAAAAAACTTTTCAAAATTTTCATCTGCAATAAATTAAAAAGTATAAAATAAATGATTGATTTTCCTTTATATTCCTGATAAGATGGTTTTTCATTATTAATTTCTCGACTCATATTTCTTTCATCTTAATTTCAGTGGGTTTTTAATTGAAAATCTCTCAAACAATTATTCTTTTGAAATAACTGGTGGAGATAAACTTACCTTACCACCTTATAACATTACTATACTTAATATTTATATTATGTGGGTGACAACAGAGAATGACGTGTATATATATTTGAAAGATAACCACTTTATCTACATACTTACAGAACATGAATGCAACATTAGTTTGTTTAAACAGTGAACTGTCTCCTCCAATTCCTATCCTACGAACGCAGGTGTTCCTCAAGGCTCCATCCTAGGCCCCACTCTATTCCTTATCTACATAAATGACCTTCCTGATGCCATAAATTCCCAAATTGGCATCTACGCGGATGACACCACAATTTATTCCTGCCTCAAAAACAAATCTAGTGTCAGTGACAAAAATAACCTGGCCGTGCGTCTCGAAAAGGACCTCCAATTGGTTGTGAACTGGGGCAGGAATTAGCTGGTCAACTTTAATGATTCAAAAACAAAACTGCTCTCTATTAATCACCATAGATATCCTTCCCTGCCCTCCATTAGAATGTCTGACGCTCAACTGCTCAAGAGCACCTCTCTGCGGCTGCTCGGTCTCACGTTGACTGCTGACCTGAGATGGAACAAATACATTGAGTCAATTGCTTCGTCCACAGCAAGGAAAGTTGGCTCCCTGTGCCACGCCAGGAAATTTTTCTCCCCGGAATCGATCCTCCAGATCTACAAATCAACAATTCGCCCTTGCATGGAGTATTGCTGCCATATATGGTCTGGAACTCCTTCTGTTTGCCTCGGGGTTCTTGATAGGCTCCAGAGGCAGATATGCAATATAATTGGCCCTGATCTGGCATCTTGTCTACAGACACTTTCTCACAGATGCGCCACTGCCTCTCTCTGTCTGTTTTACAAATACTTTCATTGCAATTGCTCCGAGGAGCTACATTCACTGGTTCCCAGACTTCATGAGTTCAAGCGCCCGACAAGGCTGGCATCCCGCTCTCACCCCTTCACTGTCGAAACTCCTAAATGTAGCCGTCTCTTCTACTCCAGTAGCTTCATATCTCGCACCTCTCGCCTGTGGAATTCCCTTCCCTATTCTAGTTTCCCTGAGAGCTATAATCTCCAGCTATTCAAATGTAATGTCAATTGACATATCCAGTTGCCTTGATCTATCTACTACCCTTCTCCTCATCCTTTCTTCTATCACTCCTATCTGATCTTGTTCTAAATTTTCTGTAACCCCTTGCGTCCTAGTGGCTTCCTGCCTTGCTTGGGGTGAAACGCTTAAAAAAAAAAAAAATACATATTAGAAGATATTGAAAAGAAAAGTAAAATGAAGTCTTATTTGTGAGTTGACTTGATTGTACATTGAAGCAGTGTGATCATCTTGACATAAAAGGTGAGAAAAAAACAGGTTTGGAATGAGCATGCAGTTGTTTTGACAGATGAGCTCCAACTAGCCAGGTAACTTAATTTCTGCACTTCTCGTCAGACTTATGATACATTACTTACTCTTCAATGAGTGCATAAGTTTTGTAATATTATGTTATACTCATAAGTTTTGTAACACTAAATTATACTCTGCTTCAAATTAGATTTCTTTCTGATTCAATCTTGATGTCGTCCAGGTGTGAACACTAAGAATTAAAAATAAATTACTCCCTGCACAGGGAGCTTTGGGCATCATATCTGGCCTGAAAAACAAATCCTCTCAAAAAAAATATATAAGATAAAAGGAAACAATTATGAGTGTTCCTGCTAAAACAAAAGCATGACAAAAGAATGCTAAGTCATGATCCACTACATCTGCTTTTAACAATGCCACTCATAACAGAGTCACAGAGTAAGCAAGCAAGTGGTCAATGTCACCATCTGTGACATCAGTCAACCAACCTGGCACATGCATCAACTCAAGGCCCTACCAACTCTCCCCTTCCTCCAACTCACTTCCCTAACCCATGAATAGATATTATAGTCTATATCAGCAATACAAAGAACTTTATCTTAACAGTTCTTGTCACTATTTCTTTTCACCTCACCAGCAGTTTATTGTCATTTTCCTTTGTTCAACCAGAATTGAAATATAACTAGAATTTTATAATCTTTATTAAGCAATACAGATGATTGGAAATAAAGAGTGAAGAATGATTTGAATTGCTTATTTACAACTGTAGAATGGTAGTTTGAGAGTTGCAATAAAAAACAACTGAAATTAAGATGAAATAAATACTAGTAAAAAAATTTAATAATACTTAATAATGTTTCATTTAAGAAAAACAATAATGTTTTATTTAGAATATTTGAATGACTTCCTTAATTACATTGTTAATGAGCAAATAAAATTATTTTTACAGACAACTAGTCAGAGCAAAATATAAATTAAATCCAATTTTAACCACAACAAAAATACTATTAATTTATTTTACTGTAACCAGTTGCACTCCAATTATATAAAAAAAATGAAAAAGCAATAAGAAATACAGTCCATAGCTATATAGCTCCTGTAGATAATAAAAAATCACTCAGAATTCATCATATACCACAAAAAAGTTAAAAACTCTTAACCTTGTAGTTTCTAAGAACATTTCTTGACAAAAAACATTTTGTAAAAACCTAATGTCATAGAGCAATTTCCTTGTGCTTTATATAAACATTTAATTAAAATCCCGACACCCCTTCAAATTGCCATCAGGTTATTGTTGATAATACAAAAGTACTCTACCAATTCTGCCAATTTTAAAAAATTTTTTAAAATTAAAGGGTTTTCACATCAAAAGACAGTAAACAGCCATCACTAAAATTTATTTTAATCTTGGCAGCTGTATTAAAATGCCTTGGAATCATGAAGTCATTTTAGTCACATGGTGACAAAATCTATTTTAGCACAATAGTATGTGAACTTATGTTCTTTTCAAATTCTGGTCTGTTATGTTCTTTTCTTGAAAATGACCAGTAATGATCAGAATTACTCAGAATATTACACATAATTTTGGCAAGTTCCTCAACAAGTTTCTATTCAACATCAAAAGGTATATTCAACATGAGGAGCAAATCAACAAAAAGCATAACAGATATTTCTTGTCTGTTCTGTTTAATAAAATATGTTTAAAGAATAAAGTAGTAACTATATGTGAATTATGAGATCAACGAAACAATAATTTTAATATATTCTTATCTTATCCCTATGAATGGATATTAACTTGAAATTTAATTAGCTTTAATATATGGAGAAAGATAAAAATCACACAACATTTAAAACATATATCAAATTATTAATCAGCAAAGTTTCAGCTTTTAATCCTGTATAGTTATTAAGTTATTAGAAATCTTATTATCTCCAAGTAACACACTAAGCATTTTCAGTTAAATATTCATATATTTTGTGTTTGCTACTACATCCACATGCCAAGTATAAATAATTAGTCTGCATGATAGTATAAGCAACAGACAGATATAAAAGTCTGAATCAATGAAGTAAGAGGAGTCATTAAAAAATGTTGTGTCTAATCTATTTCCTGTTATATGAAAATTGTCTTCATAACAAGAAACTGGACCACAAAAACAAAAAAAAAGCTAATTTTTGTAAAACAAAAAATTAGATTTACACTTTATCTGCTTTTTCCTTTTTCTTTGTGGATGAGTTGGATATTTTTACTTGGTCAAATTTTCACCTGCTCAACCTTCCACAACCTATTTCTTCTAAGTGAATATAGAAATTACCTTTTCTATATATCTCAGATGTCATATTTTTGTGGAGTGCATTGACATAAGGGCAAACATATTGTTGCATCTGGTTTTATTTGTCTTCTATGAATAAAACTAATCAGCTTAAAATGAGAAATCAATTTTTATACTTATTTTTTTTGTTGCAATTTAAGAATTTCACTGAAATTATCTTCCCCAGTGATTTTTATATGAATGTTTAACCAATATAAAGTCCAAGAATCACTCAAGATAGAGAGTTACTGTTTGCTGTATGAGCATAAAATAGGGCAAGAAATTAAGTTCATGGAGCCATACAGGAAAGATAATGATTAACCCTATACTTGAAGAGGTCAAAATTGTAGTTTGGAAAAACATCTCACCAGGAGTCCGTTCCATAAAGCAGCAGTTCTTGGGAAGAAGCTGTTGAAATAGAACTTACTTTTAGAATATGAAGAGAATGGGGATGATTCACCATTATGTATGTGGCATGATGGGTCCCAGTTGTAAAGGCTGGGGGATGGTGAGACTAAGGAATGTAGCTAGTCAGAACACATGCCATAGAAGTGTTATGGTCCAAGTTCCTTGTACCACGGTGATGGTCCAAAGTTAGAACCAATGAAAGAATAACATGAACACAAGTATGGAATACAAAGATATATTACAACAAAAATATAATACAAAGAAGTAGCAGTATTAGTAATGATAATCAGAATTGGTTAGAGTGAACTATGTTGTCTCGACAAGTATCACTATTCCAATGTCCTTACAATATGCTCTCAATTATCTCTCCTTGTCTTACAATATCCTTATACCTCTTGAGAGGCACAGTATTTATAATGTCAGGAAGAGTCCATTATTATTATGGGTAAGTTCCCATAACAGAAGTAGCAACAGAGCAACGAGAGGCTTGCTATGTTTTCATCTGTAGGAAAGGAGTTGTAGGGTGGGAAATAATTCATCCCACTACAAGGTCATGTAGAAGCTTTTGAACTCTATCAAAACAGGCAGGTGAGGACTGGGTAGCTTCAGTCCAGATAGTGTTATTACAAATTTATCAGATATCTTCTAAATTTTTATTCATCCTCCAAAAACAAACATATAACAGTTCAAGTAAAATATTCCCATGAATTGAATATATGGTTCCTGATTATAAAACTAGATTCATAAAGTTTCTTTTGATTTTAAAGTTTTTCATTATTTATACATCTAAGATCTTCTATGAACTATATCCCTTCAGGATGTGGGTGATAATAGCTCTCCACAACTTCTTGTCTTTTGTAGCTTTTTTTGTAAAGTTTGTCTTTTTGCTATATCTCTTAATCCCTGTTCTGCCAACCATTTACACAAGCTTGTTAGGTAAGTTATGTGCTACTTTCCTCTGTTTCTCTTACCTTCAATATGTCCTGCAAGTGTCAAATTTTTTCACCTTTTTTTTTTTATCTTTTTTCACTACATACACAAGAAATTTCAGTTTGTTCTGATATTATGTTTAAGTGTCATTTTTGTTTTCATTTTCTCTAAAACTTTGTTACTCATGTGTTCAGTCCATGGTATTCTCAGAATCCTTCTGTAGAACTATATCTCAAATCTCTTCTTCATCTGTAATGAGATAGCTTAGCATTCATTGCCATATAGGAGTACTGATATTACATAACTGTTCAGTACTCTTTTTTTTGTTTCCAGTGAAATTTACTGTTTCTTAATACTTTGCTTAGCTTTTGGAAGGTATTTTTTACTATTCCAATGCAACTTCTGATTTTGGTGTTGCATACTCATCACAAAGATTCTATACTGCAAGTAACTAAATAAACATATGAAAACTATAAATATAATTAATAAAAACAATTTATTTACTGTGATGTAAAGGGTGAGGCAAAAGACACGAACCATAGGTATAATTTATTAAAAGTATAATTACACATGACAATTTTATTTACTAGTTATTTAATTGTTATATGAGTTGTTCAAAATGTCCTCATCCTTTTTGAAAACACATTTCAATTATGTGCCTGCACGATTCATTAACATGTCGGAGAGTTTCCTCGGTCATTTTACTGCATTCATATTTAATTCTTTCTTTAAGTTCCTCAATATTTCTCGGACACATCTGACAAACAACTGATTTCAAATGGCCCCACAAAAAAAAAAGTCCAAGGGTGTGAGGTTTGGTGACCTCGGTGGCCACTCAACAGTAGCTCTTTGACCTATCCATTAACCCCTATGGTGTGTGATGTTTGTCTCACCCTGTATATCCAGATGTTATTGATTACAATAAAGAAAGATGAGTGTGTTAGAAATCTCTGAGTATATAAAGTTCTAAGATTTAGTTAAATTTTTAAAAGCCAATTCTGTGACATCAGATGAGTTGATTTGGCATGATGTTTGTAACATTAGAAATGTAAATTGACACATGGTGATTAATGGTTACCAGGCAATTGTCTATTTCTCTCTGTGTGCAATTAGAGAATTTGCATCAGTTTCTGCATATATTTATAAAGGTTAAAGCAGATAAAAGACACAAAATCAGCAACTTGATCAGAAAATATTTTGAAGTTGTTGATGTAAAACACTGATAAGTTTAAGTGATAATGCTTCAAGATCCTATGGATTTAACAAAATTCAATTAGTATCAAAAGTCCTTTCCAAATGAAATACAAAGTCATAAATGCTTTTCTATACATATATATTAATATATTTGTTCATGCCTATGGTTACTAATGATGTGGATAGTGTTTTCAATATTCCTGCACTTCCTCATTGATACGCAAGGATGATTTGGAGAAGTAATGCATATTTCCTTGTATTTTAAACAAAAATGAAAAGGGACATAAACACCTGAAGAAGAGAAATGCACATAAAAGCTGAGTTGAATAGAGAGGTAGTAAGACATGTACTATTTAATGAGGTAAGCAGAAAACATGCACAAACTGACACATTTATAAAAAAAAAACAGTATTAGCATTGGTCTTAGCCTTCACACTACAATTTTTAGTCCATATTCATATCAGCTGAAAATGGGCTAACATTATCAGCTGAAATGAAGTGGAGAGACTATATTGACTCCATTACTAGGTTAGCTGCTAAGAAAGTCGTTTCACTATGTCAGGTGAGACAATTTTTCTCTTCAGAATCTATCTTATATTTATGTCTACCATTCATACATGCTCATAATATTGCTGCCAAATATAGTCCAGTACCCCTGCTATTTACTTTGAGCTCCATGATAAACTCCAAAGAAGAATCAGCAATACTATTGGTCCTGATCTGGCATCTTGGCTTCACTCACTTTCCTACTGTCATAAGGTTGCCTCTCTGTGTCTTTTCTATAAATACTTTCATGATAATTGTTTGAATGAGCTCCTCGCTATGATACTTTATGAATTTAAGTGCAATACTAGACTGGTGTCAAGATCTCATGAATTTAGAGTTGAGCTGGCTAGATGTAGCTGTAAGTTCTATGCTAACAGTTTCTTTTCTTGCACTTCTCCCTTATGGAACTTCCTTCCAGCCCCATGCTTTCCAGTCAACTTTAATCTACAACAATTTAAATGCAATGTCAATCATTATTTACTGTCCTCCTGATTACTTTTTTTTCTTCCCACTCATTATTAGTGTTTCTGTTTCTAATTCTTCCATACCCTGTAACCCCTTTTGTCTTAGTGGCTTTACGGCCTTGTATAGGGTGATACCACTTAAGAAAATATTCAAAATGAACAGAAGCAGTTACTTGTCATACTTTTCACAACACACTATTTTTTTTTTCAATTCTTATTCTCCAGTTAGTATAATGGTTATTGGCATGGAAATTCACAGACCTATAATCACTTTGGTATTTTTGAGCAATAGGAATTCATATGTAAGAAATTATCATTCAAGAATTTTATACAATCACTGCTAAATAAAAGTTCAGTAAGAATTTTGGAGTGGAACAGAACTGTGTTCATGTTTATTAGCTACATCTTTAAAAAAAAAAGCAAAATTCATATGTAATTTTTAAAATAGAATTTTTGATTATCAAAATGCGAAACTAAAAATGCCTGGCATCAGTTAATGTGGAATACATCATTCATCATCAAAATGCAGGCAATCCTACATTTTTGAGACAGTTGGCAACCTTAAACTTACATATATTTTAAAGTATCAATTGGGAAAACTTCTTTCATCCAATTTCAAAATAAACTCTAAAGCCAAATTTACAACATGGTAGGTACTATGTAACACAAGATTGTTTCACTTGGGGTTTCTTTCACATTTCTTGTATATTTCCAACATGCTGCATACAATGGTAGCATTCTTTTCATCATAGTCTGAATATTTTTTAGTTATATAAAGAATAAGTTTCTCTCATGTATAACTTTGCTCATATAATATTTGTTTCTCTTGGCTATTTTACATTGATTTCTGTATTTCCTTCTAAGAAATTAAATAATGATATCTTTTAAAATCTGTAAAACATCTGTCAACTACTTTTACTGTACATGGATATTATATTGGTCTAAAACAAGTCAGATATAGGAGAACCAAATATTATATCTGTTGTAATGCAATGTCCCACACTCCCTATTGCCTATTGTGAACTGACTGTATATATAGTGAGCACAGAAGATGAGACTTTGTACCCTTTTCTATATATACGACTTTTGATAATGCATTCTAGTGGTCATTAACAGAAGTTCTATGGCAGACAAGTGGGGTAATGTCCCAGTTTACTAATTTAAATTTATTTTTATATTTAGATATTTATATACTTTTAAAAAATTTTTTTATAAGCATTTCACCCCAAACAAGATGGGAGTGCCACTAGTGTGCAAGGGGTTACAGAGAGTGATAGTAGGAGAAAAGACTGGGTTTAGTGGGGATTGAGGAAAGACATAAAAAAAAAATGAGGATCAAGGCATAAGAAGATGTCATTTGACATTACATTTAAATTTTTGAAGATTATAGTTATCTGGAAAGCAAGTAAGAGGAAAGAAGTTTCACTGTCAGGCAGTGTGAGAGAAGAAGCTGTTAGAGTAGAAGAGGTGGTTACATTTAACTGTTTCAACAGTAAAAGGGTGGGACCAAGATGCCAACCCAGTAACATGCTTAAATTCATGCAGTCAGGGCATTGTTTAAAGATTATACTAAACCTCTATAAACATTTCTTTTTATCACATTTAATATTTTCTCAAGAGTAATCATCATTCACAAAATCATTAAAAACACACTAAGCTTCAATCTAAACCTAACTCTAACTGTATCATAATCTTAATTATTAAACTTTATTAAAATTAACACTTATACTTCTAAACTTATTACTTGTGGATCTTTATGTTGGTAATACTGATAAAAAATATTTTATTTCAGTTTATGCCAAAAAGGTTAATATTTTTTTTTTCAATATTTATTAATTACGGAAAAACTTTCATTATTTAAATTGTAAACATACATTTATGATGGAGTATATGTTTTGCAGACTTTTATGAAGTGTTCTTTTGGAGTTTTTTTTCTCAATTACTTTGTGGTTATTTTCTGCAAACTATGATAAATTCTTGGATTTAATTTACTTTTGTTAGTTGATGCTGAAAGCATTTTTGAGAAACAAAAGGAAGACGATAAATGTCACAAGATTCGTTTCAAAGTTTCTTCATCATTTGGAGAGATCACATCAGAAACAGTGCAGAAGATGGATAAAAATTTGATTGTAAGTTGTTTTTTTTTAACTTTCTTTGATTCTCATTTTGTCTTCTATCCTTTAAATGGTAGGCATTGTCAATCAATGTTTCATTAGAAATTAGCAAATATCATCAACTGATGATTTTAACTCTTTCCAATGATACACACATTTTTCAGGATTTGATTCTAATCGAAAATTCTAGGATTCATTAGGTTACATCATTTCCTGGAGTATTTGTCTGCAAATAAAGCTAGAAGTCAAAGACAATGCTATGTCTGCATGGTTACTTTTTGGGTTTACTCTGGCATTGGTAAGCAGATAATTAAACAAATATTAAAAATAAAAAATAAAGATGGCTAGAAAGTAGTTGAACATATAAATGAAGATTTTATTTTTTAGAAAGAAAACAAGTTAACAAATTGTAGAAATGCCTTCTCTCCGGCCCTGGAAAAGTAAAGCTAGTGGATATACAGTAGCATAGAGCTTAGGGGTTAAAATGAACAGTTGATTTACCCACGCCAAGAAGATTAATGGAGGATGATAATGATGAGAAAATACATGGGTAATTTTAACAAAACAAAATAAAGAATATATTTATGAATTTATATGCATGAAGTTGTGTCAGTAGCTTGTTTCAAGAAAATAAATCTGAAATGTTTAAAGTCTGTAGTTTTAATGAATTGTCATGAAGAGAAAATGTTCATATAACAGATTAAGTGATCTGACACAAAATAATATCCAAAGATGTTTAAGACAAAGGTAAGAGAGTTCATTGCTCCCCAAAGGGATATATGTTGCATACTTTCAAAAGTAGACAAAGAATTTGAAATTCTTAGCTTTCTTGGATTATTGAGAGAAAATTGTTTGAAGTACAGTGTGCTTGGTTAAAAGGCCAATAATATAATTGGCAAATAATTTTACACTGACAAAAACTTCAACATTGGACACAGTGAACAGAAATGAAACCTTTTACATGATTTCAGACACTCTTCTCATGTTAATTTAATTTTTCTCCTCATTTTATATAAAAAAGAATTTTGCATAGGCTTCTTTTCTTTTCTTTTTCTCATATGACCAGCTAATTTCTGTGAAGACAAGGTTTTTATTGGTCCAAAACAACTTCACATAGGCTAGCGAATTTATTTCCTTTTTCTTTTCAGCTCCCCCATCAATTTCTGTGAAGGCAAGATTTTCATTGGTTCAAAGAAAATTTCACATAGGCTTGCAAATTCCTTTCTGTCTTTTTCCTCAGTCCTCTGAATTTGAAGGGAGTGGGTAAAGGGACTTATAATTATTTCACACACACTACAAATGTTACAAAAACAGTCTTTTCTCACAAGTACAGCATGTCATCTAACAAGAGTCTACCCTACTCACATATCAGGAATGCATCTTCTTTTCATGGTATCTATAGTATCTGTAGTACTTTACAGAATGGGTTTCATGGACTGACCATTAAGAGTCACATATTCAGCCAAGTGCAGTGAGTACTAATTGGGGAAGAGGAAGGGAATTTAACCCAACAATGAGATATTTTATCAAGATATCAGAAGAGACAGTGTACACAGAGAAGTGAGTTTATGCCTTTTCCAGTAATGTGAAGTAAACATCACCCAGAATTCATGAGGATCATCAATAGGCTAGCCTGCATCTTCTTTATGATTTACTAGCAATGATACCTAGAATTGTGCAAACTCTTTCATTTGTTCTGCTAGTTTATAATCTTTTCTTTGTTTGAGATATTTGTTTGCCATAAAATGATATTATCAGAATTATCATACTTAAAGCAGTTAAATTGGTTTAAGCACTTTGATAGTCACTTATTTTGTGTGTATCATGTTATTTTACAATTTGTTAGATTTTCAAAATATACTATTAAAAACATGTCAACAATGTTTACTTCCCTTTACTCCAAAGCTGTGTTCTAAATGCTAAGGTGGTCATGAGTTTAATGCCTGCTTCATTGAAATAGTATGGTAATATGAAATATGACAGACCAAAATGATTAATTACAGTAATAAAAATTAGTAAAACCATAGAATTTCCATGGGTCACACTTGACATGATAAAAGGAAATAAATGTCATAGAAACCTATTTTAAAAATACTGAGGCATTAAAACAGTTTTTTTTTTGCACTTTTGCTATCTCTTTTGTATATAAATAACTTGATGCAAATAGGTAGATAAAGTGTTTAAAATTTGCATTAGGTGAATCTGCATGTGCACTTCAAGGTCACTGTTGTATAAAACTTGAAAAAACAGTCTATAAACTGTGAAAAGTAAAAAAAATATCTGTCTATATTTCTGAGATGAGGTATTATGTACATTATTTACATTATTCGGACTATTGTCCTCATCTTTGTCGCCATATTTATTATAACGTTTCGACCATTGTACGCTCCGGCATTCTTCTGAAGAAGGCCGGAGCGTACAACAGCTGAAATGTTGTAATACATATGGCAACAAAGATGAGGACAATAGTCCAAATAATGTAAATAATGTTAAAAAAATACTGTGAAATTTCTGCAGGTTCCTGCAAATGGGTTGTATTTCTCCTTTTCTATGCATATATAAGGGTTTCTATATTTACAACCCAAAAGTGGCCTTGGTGACTATATTATAAAGTGTCATCATGTACAATGCCGTATTTCAGTAACTCAACCATCAAGTCAAATAATTGGTAACTAATCCATGAACAAAAATGTTGTTGTGATGATCACTAACAAAAACTGGCACCAACATAAGCTATGTAGTTGGGCTGGAGAACCTCCACTCAGGTCACTTACAACAGCTGTACATCATCTAGGAACCTCCCCAGTGCTTTTCCATTTGTGGCAAGTCATGTCAACACCTGAAAAATTTTGAAGGCTTTTGGATTTGGGAATCTCAGATAAAAGATACTCAACCTATAGTAGCAGTAGAATTAGGGTAATTCTGATGTAGTAATAAAAGCCAAATGTCTAATATGCTTGTAACAAATTGTTGCTATGTAGATTAGAAAAGAAGGTTGAATGTGCTTGCAAGAGAATACAGTACTCTTGCTGCAAATAGATGTTTCACATATCTATTACTTGTTTTTCTAAAGCATAAATAGATTTAAATAACATTCTCAAATATCTATGAGTCATGCTAATATATTTCATTTGATCTCATTCAAATATTTTACATAAAAGCACAGAATATTGAGAAGCTGGTGGTCTTGATTCCTTCCTAGTCATATTGTATATCAGCAATCCAACATTTTGCCAATACAATGGCTGATCAGAAGCCAAGTCCTTAAAACATAAAATAGCCTTCAATGATTATGGTATTAATAATATTAATATGCTACTAACAATTTAGTTTATTAAAGTCAAAAGTGTAATGGTTACCAGCACAGAAAGTGGAACTAGCAAGCCAAGTTTTTTGTATGTTTATGTAACTGTTTTGGACTAATTCTAGCATTTCCTTGACTGCTGGAATTAATTTCAGGTCATTATTTATAACAATCAAACTGCATTTTAATGTATATTTTCATTTTTTTTTAGTGTGTATATGTATATATATAGATAAATAGATAGATAGATCGATATAGATAGATAAATAATCTCAAGTAAATCATTTTTAATAATAAGTAGTATGACTTTCCTAAATATTTCTTTGTTTCATATACAGGAGATTTGACTGTCAAATTGAATTTAGGTGAGTAAGCATCTTAAAAGGATTAATGAGTACATGTGAATTGTCTTGGTTGGTGCAGTGTGGCATAATTGCTCTGTATTGTGTATATCTTTAATCAAGATGAGGATCTCATATTTTCAAGCAGGTTTGGTTACAGGCAGAACATGTATGATGTGTAAAACTCAAGACTCACAATGAAACCAAAGTATATCACTGAAGACATATCTCAGTGAATCTCTATGATTGATTGATTTATCAACCCTTTGCAGATTATCTAAAGCCAGAAAATATTTTTAAATTATACAAATATTTGGAGAGATGATAATGATTTACTGATACAAGTCCTGTAAAATAAACCATAGCTGGGGAAGAGAAGAAGTGAATTTGTACCATTCCCAAAGGCATTTGCACATAAGTGAATATAACGAACATGATTATAATTTATGGATATACTAGGATATGCTGGTAGTGTAATGGTTACAAGCACAGAAAGTGGAACTAGTAAGCCAAGTTCAAATTCTGGCCTAGCTGCTGTGTTCACTTTCACCTAGGGAAAGGCATGAATCTATTACATTTTCACCACCCAGCTCTAGATGGAGGCATGGTGGAGTAATGATTAGCTGCTCAGATTGAGAACTCACAGAACCGAGTTTGAATTCATTACATTCCCTTCGAGAAAAGTATGACTCCAGCTATAGGTAAAATAGTAGAACAGACTGAGTCCTATAGCCTTGAATGGCAACCAGTTTAGAAGAAGGAAACTCTGGATTTAAATCAGATTGCACTATCTTAAAAGTGTCTATACATTCAGCAGGAGACCATTTGTGAATCCAAATTCCCACTGAAACTCCTGCTGTGGATTTGCATATCTGGATAAATATGACCTCAGCTTTTGTTTAGATGTGGCAGGTTCATTTGATGGTGCCACTCAACTAACCAGGTAAATGCCACAACAGATAACAGGTACAGTTAGAGGTTAAACAATAAAGTAGACTGAGATCTCTAGCTTTGAAAGCCAGTCTAAGAAAAGAACAACTCTGAATTCAAAACCATGGAAAAGGCAACAGGAAACTATGCCTCTCTCTTTCCCAATAAGGCATGGTAATTCACAGATAATAATGAAAAGGAATCTGTGTGGAGTCATGGTTACTTACATGTTGAAGAGACCTAGGATTCTAAAAAAAATATTAGTATAAAAATAATACATTGGTTGTCCACTCTTAAATCTGATTCCTGATCTCATTTTTTTTTTTATTTCTGTCTAGCTCATGATTGGAGATTCACTTCCTCGTATTAAACAGATAAGTCTGGAAACATATGATGGAATTGTTGAATATATGAAAGATATTCCCAGCTTGGAAATTGTTTCTAACAGTACAAAAAAACGAACTGGTTCATATGCCAGTTCTTCTGATGGACTCACTGATTTAATCAGTCGAACCAAAAGCGTATGTATTCAATCTGATTACATTGGCCTACAAAAATTTATTTTTGAAATGGTGCAAGGGATATCATAGCTAATTTTAAATAATTTTATGGCACTGAATTCAAATACCATAGTCATTTTTCTCAGTTAGTTCTAGTTTTCTTATTTTCAGGTGATCAGAAAAAAAGAGGAAAATTGCTTATTTTAAGTCATTTGTCTGAAAAGCAAAAAATGCACAGCTATGCAAATGCAAATCAAATAAAGTTTCACCTATCAGGTAAGAAAAAATACATCAAAACACAAATATCTTAGATTAAATATGAAGTTAAAAATTAAAAAAGAACAATCAAAGTAAAAACATTTGTTGTTGTAAACTTGCCATATATAACAGAAGAAATTGGGTTTGTTTTTGCATCCTTTGCTTGAAGCCATTTCCTTGGTATTAGAGTCTAGAAATAAAAAAAGTGTGATAATAACAATGTATTCAAATACAAAGTAAAAGAAGATTTTACTTTTGTCCTCAATTCACACTTAACACTATACATTTCATATCAACTAAATTCAATAAACTCATATAAAATACCAAACATATCTTATACAGATTATGTTTATAATTATGCAGTATGTGCAAAAAATACATGCATGGGCATACCTCTGATAAGACTATGAATAGTTTGATTATGAATAGCCTTTAATAGTTTGAATACTGATATGCACTGAGAAATCTATACACATTTTTAGTTATAAAAATGGGGTTAAATGAAAATTTAAAACAACATTACTACCTGTTACCAAGTCCAGAGGAAAATTTTGCCAAATTAAATGGTGGTAATTTTTTTCTAAATTGGACGTGCCAGACGCTTATCTACAAGTACAAGTAGATGAAGATTGCTCAAAACTATTAATAATTAACACTCATAGAGGGTTATACAAATTCAACCAACTTCCTTTCTGTATAAAGGTAGCACCAAGCATATTCCTACAAATAATGGATTCCATGCTTGCTGGTTTGGATTGTGCTCAAGGATATTTGGATGACATACTTATTAAGAGTAAGACCCAAAAGCAATATACGAAAGATGTAAAAATAAGTATTTGAGAGAATTAAGGAATATGGTTTTAAGATTAGTGAAGGAAGTGCAAATTGTTTATGTCCAGAAATATCTAGGACAAATTATTCAAGGGTGAACACAATAAAGGGCATGCCCGCCCCAATACAAGCACTTTTAGGGTTTGCTAATTACTATCATACCAAATATGAACAAATTAAGAGCACCCTTGAATAACTTGTTTAAGAAAGATGTGAAATGGAATCGGACAGATAAATGCCAAAGTGCTTTCGAAGATATCAAGAAAGTCTTAATGTCGGATTTGTCACTCGCTCATTTTGACCCTAAATTAAATATTGATTCAGGTATTGGAGCAGTGATACTACACAAATATGAGGACAGAACAACTAAACCAATAGGTCATGCTTCAAGAGCATTAATTGCATCTGTAAAAAGCTACAGCCAGATTGAAAAGGAAGAATTGGCAATCATATTTTCTATGAAAAAGTTTCACAAATTCATACATGGTAGAGAAGTCATACTACAGACAGACCATCATCCATTATTGTCCATATAGAGATCAAAATGGTGTTCCCACACATACACCAAATAGACTGCAGTGCTGGGGTACTATCCTACTGAACTATAATTATAAAATAGAGTTTCTACCATCCAAAAAATTAAGTCATGCAGAGGGATTGTCAAGACTAATACCAAAATTCTGTGAACCACTTGAAGACACAGTAATTGCGGTAATAAGGGCCAAAAATGAAATTAATAACGTATTAAACAATACCATAAGAGAATTGCCCATAACATTAGAGAAAATAAGAATTAAGTCAGAAAAAGACGACTTTATATTGAAAATGAAGAAGCAATTAAGATTTAAAGGAAAAATATTACTAGAAATAATGCATTTTCATTATGTAATGATGTACTTATGTATGCAGAAAGAATTTTAATACAGGCATTGTTGCAAAAACATATGCTAAAGGAATTTTACACAGGACATCCAAGAATTTCTAGAATGAAATTCTTAATGAGGTGTTATACTTATTGGCCAAAAATGGATCAAGATATTGAAAATTTAGTGAAATCATGCAGAGGTTGTGCTCTGGCAGCGAAGTTACCACCCATCAAAATTCAACCCTGGCTGAAAACCGATATGCTATGGTTCAGAATACATATGGACTTCACAGGACTATTAAATGGAGCATACTATCTAGTGGTAGTCAATAATTATGCTAAATAGCCAAAAATATTAAAATGTAGAAGACCAACTACCATGGTAACGATAAATTTCCTACACAAGATTTTTGCAAAGTTCGGTGTTCCTGACTCTATTGTTTCAGATAACAGGACTCAATACACGTCTAGTGAATTTAAGTTTTTTTTCAAATCACTTGATAAAAAAATGCTGTAAAATGAAAAATTTTGCCCAAATGAGATTTTGGTGCAGAGAAAACAGTAACTAATATGAAAAAATGGATGTCATCTTTGAATTTGGCACCATCAAATTAGCCAAGAAAGCATGTTTCCATCCTTGCACCAAAATATGCATTGACCAGTGTTATCTTTTCATATAAAAATCTTGGCAAAGTTTAACATACATACCTGCAAAAAACAGTATGTCAAAAGGACAGTTTTTCTCTTAACACCACTATTATTGTATACTTGCTCAGCAATTTTTATTGCTTTAAAAGCTACTTTTAGAATTTTGATAAAACCCTAACATGTGAAACTGGATTTATGCATTCTCTTTTTTCTTTACAACAAAAGTATTAAACACTTATAAAAAAACAAGCTAATAAATAAATACAGGGTGCGATCGGTAAATTGTCGCTATTTTATATTGTTAATTTTGCATATGCACATTGTTGTTGATTTTGTTGACTGCACAGTATAGTCAGGTCAGTTGGGCACCATCTGTGAGAAAAAGAACACCATGACGCAATTCACTCTGCCAGAAATTTGGAAAAGGCATGCTGTACTTCTTGGTATTCACACTGGAAACTTCAATACAAACATTTCAGAATGTTTGAGTGTCAATCTGAAGACAGTTCGGAAGATTCAGAAAGAGTTGGATAAGTCTCATGGTGATTACGAAGGTGTTTGAAGTGATCACTAGTGATGGTGACATTATGCCTCCATTCATCTTCCTACAGGGCCTCAAATTCAACAGTGGGCCTACATCAAGTGTCTTGAGGAGGTAGTGCTGCCCTGGGTCAAGATGGTGGCTGCTGGAAGACCCTATGTCTGGCAACAGAACTCTGTACCATGCCACACAAGCAGGAGAGCCCAGTTATGGCTGTCAGTCAATTTCGGTGACCACATCACCCCTTACATCTGGCCACCTAATACCCCAGACTGCAATCCCCTTGATTATTATGTGTGAGGTGCAGTTAAGTGAGAGACCAACAAAACTCCATGTAACACCAAAGATGAACTGAAGACAAGGATTATGGCAGCATTCACCAACTTAAACAAAGAGACCGCCAAGAAGAGTTGCAAGAGATTCCGAAGTCATCTGGAGATTGTTGTTGAAACCAATGGCAATTTTATTGAATAAATTTACTCTTTAATATTTCAAAATATTTTTGCGAAATTTTAATATCTGTTAAAATGAGATGTCAGTGTTATTTTCATTTGCATAATTTAGATGACAATTTATCCACTGCACGCTGTAGTGTTTAACATTTTTGTTGTCAATTCTCAAGAAAAAAAATATGAATCCAGATGCTTGCAACCTATTATAGGGTATTCATGTGGTGAGAACAAATGCATTTTTTCAAGATTTATAATTACAATTACTCATGTTTGATCACAATTCATATATATATATATATATATATATATATATATATATATATATATATAAAATAATTTTTAATTACCTTTAAGCTCACTAAACACTCCTTCTACTTACAGAATGATGGCTGGTAGGACTTAATATATATTGATTACAATATAAGCCCTAATCAGCACTAAGAACATATTTGGGCTATAAAAACAGGCTCACTACTAGTTTTTAATGAAATGTTCAACTATCACTGAGCCTGATACATTAATACACCTAGGTAAATTATTCACCTTTCTCTTACAAATATTTAATCGTTGTCATATTTTGTTATTACAAATTTATGGCAATATATATTTTTTATTACCTCCCTTTTTCATTATGAATTCTTTTTATTATGAATTGTTTTTTTAATATGTTTGTATTTATTGCTGTAATAAAACATGCAAAAACTTATAAATATAAAATTATTCTTTTAAATAAACAATCTAATAAAATAAATAGTACTTAATTCTTTTTGTTGCCAATTCTCAAGCAAAAAGATAATGCATAAACCCAGTTTCATTAAAATTCTAAAAATAGCTTTTTAAAACAATAAAAATTACTGAAAGCATAATGGTGGTGTCAAAAGAAAAAAAAATGTCCTTTTGAAACACTTTAATCAAACTTGTCAGTAAGAAGTGTTTTTGGGAATTTTAACCTAAACATGGTCAGTAGAATGATAGCAATCTACTCCCATAGATTTAATAAAGGGTTCAGTTCAAAATTCCCTGAAGGTTACTAGAAAGATTATCAGGAAGCTGGAGAAAGCCAGAGTACACAATGATTGAAACATTGTGAAAACAACAACAAAGATAAGGACATTAGTCCAAATATAAATGAAGTAAACAGTTTTGTTTTGTTTTTTTTTATTAACAACACTTGACATTTGAAGTTGTTTTGTGTAGTTAAAATATTTCTTTATTGTTTTGGGGTACATACTTTCCCCAAAAGTTACATTTTCTGCATGTATTTTATTTTTCAGAAATATGAAGCAATTACATGGTATAATAATTTTATTAAAAATAAGCAGATTATTAATGATGCTCATATTGACATTGAGTTCCTTGCTGAAGTCATGACTGAAACAGGTGTATATGTGAAGTCTTTGGAATCTTTCTTTTTTGATAAAGTAAAGGAGGTTATTCAAGAGGTTGATATCTCAATACTGAGATTTCCTGATATTGAGAATCCATATTTCCTGGTAAGTTATAAAAAATATATTTTTTAAAAAAATATTTAATTTCTCTAAAAGATTCCTTGACAAAAAGATTGGAAAGGAAATTTGTAATGGTTCATGTCATGTTGGTTGGTGGTTCAAAATTTGAAGCTGGTGGTTCAGTTTATGTTGGTTGGTGATTTGCATTTTATTGCAGTATTACAGTTCTTATTAACAAACATGTAACTTGAAAAGAAAATAATGACATCATCAAGATGTTGACTTTCCACACTACCTTAAACAAGTTTAGGAAGGAAACCACCATCAATACTAGAAAAATTAGTAACAGTTGATTTGTGAAACCTATTTTCTTGATAAACAGTTTTAAGAGAAAGATTTTATCAATTTCAACCAACAGTAGCACTGGTTCTTTGGTCCATGAATGTTGAATGTTTCCTTATAAGGAAACAGCTAATATTACGCTTATCATTACCATTACAATTGATTTTTTTATGCTCAAGAATCAGATTCACATGTAGTATCTCATGTGAGTACAAAGTAAATGTGTGAGAAGCAAACATGACCACAGATGTTGTATGTACTGGCCTGTCTTGATAGTGTTGATGAAGTGGTGGTGTCCTCCCACAGTTGGGTGTGTTACTTCTTTGTTTTCTTAATCTCTTTGTAATGAGTCAAAGTGGTCCCGTATGTCAACAGCCCACTGCAGATTGATTACTTTTACTGAAGTAGTGTTGGACAGTTTCTTTACAGGTGACAAGGTTGATATTAAGTTATGTAAAGAACATGTCCTTCAGAATTTTTGTTTTTCCCCCTCTGGACATGCCCCCACCACTAGAAGCATTGCTGCCTCAAAAGAGGGTATGTACTTGGAAGATAGGATTATTCAAGTACTGAAGGCAATTTTATACATGAATATTAAATAGTAGGCCTCTAACATTACATATGGAAATACTTGTTATCAAATTTTAGCATGAAGTTCAAATTTATGAACTCTTGTAGTTGAAGTGACAAAATTTAGAAAAGGGGGAAATAAGGATAAGAACAATAGAAATGAGGATACTAGTCTGAATGAGTGGCAGCACAATGGAGTAATGGATAGCAACTTAGATTGAAGAACTGCAAATTCCAGTTGAGTTTGTTACATTCACTTATGTGCAAATACTCTTGGGAAAGGTATGAATCCATTTCTTCACACACAGCTATGGGTACATAGCATGACAAATTAGGTTCTATAGTCTTATCAGTTTATAAAAAATAAATATGAAAATAAATATTTTTATTCATAAATTTATATATAACTGTTTGTGAACAAGAAAAATTAAATAAACAGGTAACAACAAATAAATATTGTATCATAGATGGTTTACATATTTTGATAATTTTGTAAATTTTTAATTTTTTGAATAAAAAGATTTCTTTTCACATTTATTTCTTTATAAGATAGTAAATAATAAATCTTTATATTTTTAAATAATGAATATCACATTGTACTTGATTCACATATTTTTATAATCTTATGAATAAGCATTGACAAGGAAGTGAAGGTAGCACAAAATAATAGTGGTGTCAAAGAAAAAATATCCTTTTAACACACCATTTTTTCTTTTTTTTTTTTAGGTATATCATATCAAAATCATGGCTTGGAGAGTGAGTGAGCGTTTATTGATGTATGAACAGACAGCAGGTGGTTTACAAGGTTTGTTCCAAAGCATAAAATTCAAGCCAAACACAAAGTATCTCTCTTCACTTGAACCTGATATCATTAAATCAGCCAAAGAAGAAGCAGAAAAAATCTTTGACTAAAAAACAAGTTTTGTTTTTTAAAACTTCATCTGATATTCCGTATCTATATGTTTTTTGGCAACATGTAATTTTTCTTCTAAATAATAAAAAATGAACATTAATAAAACTAATGTATGTGCTGTTTACCTTGTTGTCTATATTATATAAATCTAATCCTTTCTGTTTAAATTTCTGGAATGAGGAATTATCATTAACCTGTTCATGTCTAGAGTTAACTGTAATCTTACCCACTTATCCACATAAACTGTGCCTCTTACTCTATAACCCTCTACCTCAAGTGGACCCTGGGCCTTGTACAGGGTGAACCTTACTGTAAAAGAAAAACATTTATGTTCAGATTATTGACCATATTTTCGCTGTTATTATCCCATTTTGGTCATTGTACACTCTAGTCTTCATCAGATGCTTGTTGATCTGGGTAGCCTTCAAGGAATTTTAAACTGAATCTTTTATTTAATCTACATAGGTAGATTGTTCTTTTTCTGCTGACCATGTCTAAAGATATGTCATCTATTTCTTATTTAGTATGGTTCAGTTATTTCCTGACATGTTTCCACTGACTTTAAGATTGCACTACCTAGGCCAGGGATTGAATTCCCAATTACTATGTCACCAAATTCATGGCCCAACACTTTAATTCACTTGGCTAGACTCTGTGGAAACAAGGCAAGCATTGTAAGTATCTTTGTATATGGCAGCAAATGCTGAATAATTTCCTTGCAGATGAAAATGAGACTTGAGGCAACAGAGATGTGGTTATACAGAAAAATGGATGTAATATGGGAGCAACAAGGAAGTTTTAAGGAAAATGAAAACAAAAAATAGCACTCATAATAGAAAGAAGGCTTGGAGAATTTTTCACTCATAGGACACATTGAAGGCAAAAGGGGCAGAAGAAAGCAGTGATTAACCTACATAACGAATTTATATATATGGATGGCAGAACAAGGAATGGAAAGGATAGTCCAACATTCATTGTCATATAGGAGGACTGATATTACATAATAGTTCAGCACTCTTTTCTTTGTTTCTAATGAAATTTTCCTATTTTTTAATACTTTGTTTAACTATATGAAGGCATCTTTTGCTATTCCAATTCCAATGCATCTTCAGACTTCACTCATATTTTCTGTCCTCTATTATAATTTACTTGGAAAATGTTCCGTTTTCTTATTGATTTGCATCCCAACAAATTAATTTGCTGATTTTTAAAGATTTTAATTTTTCAAGTGAAGCATTCTATATTCTGGACAATCTAATTATTATATTAAACATCTTATAAAAAAATCAACAGTTGCTAGAACTAAAAAAAACATTAACAACAGGAGTTGTTGGATATAATTCTGAAGAAAAAAAAAATTTTCAATGTCTTATGCCAGATGCTGTCCAAAAAACACCATATCAGAATTTGTATACAATCCTGATGAGGGACTGATTTTTTTCTGCATATTTTTCATAGATATGAACAAATATTCAGTCAGGAATGCAGCAGCTGGGAAGATGAGAGCAAAAATGAGATTGTTGTTGAGGAAAATAGCTCCTGATAGAGTATGAAAAATACTGCAATATATATATTAAAAAAAAAAAAACAGGTGAAATGGGTTTGAAGACATGGTACACATTCTGATGAAAATCTTTAGTGACAAGAGCTCTCTGTTTAATGCTCATTGGAGGTGCATGAATCTAAAAAAAAGAGGAGAAAAATTTTTCATGTATATGCTGGTATTGTCAACAAAGAATGTGAAAAGTTTAGAATAAAAAAAATGACTCCAGATATGTTCAAAGGGTTTATTTTTTTGTTCAAGGTTTAACAGTAAAAAAAGATGCTGAAATACAAAGCAAAAAATTTTAACAAAAATTGAACAAAAAGTAATATTACACTGCAAGAAATAGTGGATGATTTGCCAGACAATTCTAAGTCTGAAACATGATGCTGAAGAAATTCAAAAAAAAAGAATGTGCATTGGTACAAGCAAAGGACAAATGTAAAAAAGGAGAATAAATCCTTGTTTCAGATGTGGTAAATTACATCTTGGAAAAGACTGTCCATTTAAAAAAATGCAGAATGTTACAAGTGTGTAAAACAAGGACATATAAAGTCACACTGCAAAACCAAACCAAAAAAAATTTTCACAGGAAGAAATTTGTACACAGCATTGTGATGGAAAAATGGTCATCAAAAAAAAAAAAAAAAATTTGTGAATGAATGAAAATAAAAATGTGGGTGTGAAAATGCTACTGGACACTGGTAGTGATATTTCAATAATCAGTGAAACCACATGGAAGGAAATTGGAAAAAGCTTTTATTAAAAAGGACTTCCAAAGTTGATTTCAGTTTCTGGTGAGAAATTTTTTTTTTTTTGAAAAAAAATGACTTGTAATGTCTCATTCCATAATAAGCATGTAAAAAACTAAAAGCTTATATGTATTAAAAAAATGCTACAAATTTATTTTTCAGTACTGACTGGATGGAACTATTTAAACTTTGGGATTTGCTGATAAATGTTTATTTTTAAAACATAATTGGACAAGAAACCTATTTAAAAAGAGTGAAAATCTTAAGGAAGAATTAAAAAATGTTTTCTAGATGTTCTGTCAAATGAACTTGTTTGGTGTTCAAAATTCAAAGCAGATTTTCAAGTAAAAAAAAAAAAAGGTTTGACACTAGTATTTAAGCCAAAAACAGAATATACCATTAGCAGTATTGGAACAAGTCAATGAAGAGTTGAACTGACTCAAAAGAATTGGTGTTATAGAAAAAAATTAACCATTCAAAATGGGCAGCACCAGCAGTGTAAGTAAAAAAAAAAAAAAAAAAAAAAAAATTTGTGTTTTGCATGGATTTTTCTTGACAGGATTAAACAGTTGTTTAGAAAACATAACTACCCATTACCAAGTCCAGAGGAAAATTTTTCAAAGTTAAATGGTGGAAGAATATTTTCAAAGCTGGATCTCTCTGAAAGTATTTACAAATTCAGATTGAAAATGAATGTTCAGATTAATGACCATAAATATGCACAGAGGATTATATAAGTTTAACTGACTTCCTTTTTGGTATAAAGGTGGCACCAGCTATTTTTCAACAAGCTATGGATACCATTTGTGGATTGCAATTTTCAGTGGCATATCTGGATGACATTTTAATCAAAAGTGTATCTAAAGAACAAACATGTTGGGCATATGAAAAAACAATTTGAAAAAAAAAACTAAGAGAATATGGATTCAAGCTCAGTGAAAAAAAAATGCAAATTGTTTTTGCTGAAAATTAAATACCTTGGTCAAATTATTGATAAAAATGGTCATCAACCAGATCCATTGAGGGCAAGTGCAATTAAAAATATGCCTCCACCAACAAATGTGACTACATTACAGTTTTTTTTCTAGGGCTGGCTAATTACTATCAAATATATATATATACATAATATGCATAACTTGAGAGCTCCACTGAATGATCTACTTAAAAAAAAAGGAGTAAAGTGGAACTGGAATGATAACTGTCAAAAGGTATTTGATGAATTAAAAAAAAAAAAAAAGACTTATGTCAGATTTATCATTAGCACACTATGATCCAAAAGCAGAAATTGTAGTGGTGTCAGATGCTAGTGAGTATAGTATTGGAGCAGTGATTTTACACAAATATGATGGTGGTAAAATGAAAGCCTTCCCTCATGCTTTATGATTGCTTCTACCAGCAGAAAAAAATTACAGCCAGATAGAAAAAGAGGCTCTAGCAATTATATTTGCTGTGAAGAAATTTCATAAATTTATTCATGGAAGAAATTTTAGGTTGCAAACAGACCACAGGCCTCTATTAACAATATATGGTTCAAAGAAAGGAATAACTATGCATACAGCTAATAGACTACAATGCTGGGGTACCATCTTATTAAACTATGATTTTATGATGGAGTACCAACCATCTAAAAAAAAATTAGGACATGTGGATGGATTATCAAGATTAATACCTAAAAATGTGGAACCATTTGAGGACATGGTCATTGCAGCACTAAAAAGCAAAATAAAAAAAAAAAAAAAACATTTTGTGCAATGTAGTATGAGAGTTACCAGTTACCCTGGAAGAAATAAAAGAAAAAGCAGAAAATGACATCTTTATTGTGAAAATAAAAAAGCAATTGAAAGAAAATACCAAAGAACAAAATCCAGACTTAAATGCTTACTTGCTATGCAATGGTGTAGTAACATTTGGTAAAGTGTTGTAATACCTAGTGTGTTACAGAAATGAATATTAAAGGATTTTCATAGCAGACATCCTGGTATTTCAAGAATGAAATTTCTGATGAGAAGTTTTATATATTGGACCAGAATGGATCAAGATATTGAAAACATAGTGAAAGCTTACAGAGATTGTGCTCTGGCAGCAAAACTACCTATCACAAAGATAGAATGTTAGCCAAAGAGAGACATGCCATGGTCAAGACTGTATATAGATTTTGCAGGTCCAATGAATGGATAACATTATCTTGCGGTAGTTGATAGTTTCACTAAATGGCTGGAAATTTATAAGTGCAAAAATCTAACATCTTCAGTAGTAGAGAATTTCTTGCATGAACTGTTTGAGATATATAGCATAACAGATACCATAGTCTCTGATAATGGAACACAATTCACAGGTAAAGAATTCAAAGACTTTTCTAAGATGTTCTCCATTGAACATATTATGACCCCTGTATCACCCAAGGTCAAATGGACAAGTGGAACAGTTTTTGTGGGAATGTCAAAAAAGAGTGTTGAAGAAAGCAAGTCTTGAGAAAGAAAGTGAGGAAGCCCTTCAAAATTTTCTGAGAGTTTACCGTGTAACACCTAACTCCAATATGCCATCAGGCATGTTGCTGGTGGAATTAATGTTTGCTAAAAAAAAGTAAAATTGGTGTTCAACAAGTTATCACCAAGTCGAAAAAAAAAACAAAAAGGATAACAAAAAGAAACACCAAAAAGTTTCAAGGTTGGTGATAAAGTGTTCTTTAGAGCATATAAGGATG